AAAAAAAAAATTCTACTTGTGATTTATCCGACTAACTTTGTTTGTTTTTTTGAAAAAAAAAACCTTTTTAATAACTGTTATAATTAGGTATAACTAAATAGGTGAATTAATTATGTCGAATTTGGAAAAAATCGGTATAAAGGAAAAGTCTTTGTAAGCCATATTTGAAATATTTTTGGATTGATTTCAAACTTACTAAAAGATAAATGATGAGATAAATTGATGAATTGACTAGATTGCGCAAATCAGCAATGTAACAGACGCCTTTTCAACACACAAATACTGATTTCCTTCAAAAATCACCGATACTAAGAAACAGAGCAGCGAAAATGTCAAAATGGTTATTCTACTTGTGATTTGATTTATCCGACTAACTTTGTTAAAAGTTAGTATAAGTGTCGTAATTAAGTCTTAATTATAAACTATTTATTCACTTAAATATGCGTGAAACATCGCTTTTTTTCATCTTCCTGCAAACACTTTATTTCATTTGAGTATTGAGATATTTTTCAATATAACTTTTTTCATCTTGTAATCTGAATATTTGCATATCTTGTACTGCTGCACTATTTAGATTTATGTATTCTACGCTGTTTTGATGTGACCTACGGTCATCACTTGTAGATTCAACTAATTAGTTATTACAACTGTTATGTTGGATATCACGAAACTTGAGCTACGAGATGAAGCTTTTATATCTATAAATATTTGAAATTTGAAGTGATAAAGTCAATTTCATTTAATCAGAAATTTAAAATTGATAGATCAAAACATAAGAACAAAACAAAATTGTGCGCTGAAAGGTGAAAAAATGAAGGAGATGTGGAATGAATAAATAAATAAGCTTTGCAAATGAAAATAAAATAGAATTTTTGATAAATGTTAAAAATAAAAAGCACAGCAAAATAAAAGACTTTGTAGAGAAGATCATCTCGGAGCTGCAGTCATTTGTTATTTGTAATAAATAAAATATACTCTTTGCCATATTTTTTATAGACTTTCTCTTATTATTGGCATAGAAAAATAATAGTAATAATAATAGCAATAATAATAATAGTAATAATAATAATAATAGCTATAATAGTAATAATAGCAATATAGTAATAAATAAATAAATAATGACAAAACAACAGATTCGTTACCACTGATCATTCTTTGTTGTAATTTTAGAATCACATTCTGCGTATTAACTGAATGGCTTGTTTTACTACTTAATAACTAATTTATGACTAATACCAGATCGAAATTTGCTTTGTTATTAATCAGCAGTTGCATATGAGGAACAGAGCTACTGATGCTATTCTTAGTAAACAACTTTTCTCATCGTAAATTAGATTTAACTGCGAAAATAAATTCATCAACTTTCAAGAGTTAACATATTTTAATCCCAACTATGGAGATGAGTTCTAAAGCGTTACAGTTTTTGTTTTACTAAAGTACGCATTAACAATAATAATTACGAATCAGTCAAGAAATGATGGCAGCGACATTATCCTCCACAATGAATTGCAGTACAGTAAGTATGATAATTATAACAGTGTCGTCAGAAGGAGTTTTGATAAAAAATAGAATAATTTGTTACTTGCTTAAAACTGAGTATTGAATGGATGGATACCATCAAAAAGTTGTTGCCAGTAGTGCGGAAGAAAAAAAATCTTAATATTGTTGATCATCATCATTTATCTATCATCTA